GCGATGAGGGCAACGGGGAGGGCAGGGAGGAAGCCAGTGCGGGCCGGGGGCAGCTGACGTCTCAGCCTGACCACCTGGAAACCCTAGAGCATGGATGGTCCCACAAGGGTTCCGTCTTGAGGCAGAAGGTCTGGCTTCTGTACCCGAATCAGTCAGTCATGGGCTGCCTGTTGCCTGCCCTTCCGGGAGGTCATAACCCCTCAGGAAGTTTCTGTGACATGGCTCTGGGGGCAATTCGCAGAATGCAACAATGGTGAGCTTTTAGCAGCTGTGGTGAGCTTTAGCATCTAACCTCCTAACAGCTGAACAGCGGATGACTCCGCCTGATAAAAAGAATTTGGGCAAGGTGTCAACAGCCTCTATTGTACCACTGTGTGTGGGCTTTAAAAACAAAAAAAAAGAAAAGAAACAAAAGAAAAAAGTTAATAGATTTTTAGTTTTAGTTTTACAGAAAATTTGAGCAGAAAGGAGAGAATTCCTGTATAAATCCCCTGCACTCTCTCCCTACACAGTTTCTCCTGTATTAGCCTCTTGCATTAGGGTGATACATTTGTTACCATTGGTAAACCAATACTGCTGCATGGTTAACGGACTCCACAGTTTACATTAGGGTTTATTCTTTGTGTCGTACAGTTACGGGTTATGGGTTATGGTTATGACAAATGCATAGCGCTGTGTGTTCATTATATCATGCAAAATAGTTTCATTGCCCTAAAAATCCCCTGTGCTCCATCTGTCTATTCTTCCCCCTCCACCCCTAAACCCCTGGTGAACCTGAGCTTTTCTCTGTCTCTATAGTTTTGCCTTTCCCAGAATGTCATATAGATGGAATCATACAGTGTGTAGTCTTTTAAAATCGGCTTCTTTTATCTAGCAATATACATTTATGTTTCCTCCATGTCTTTGGTGACTTGATAGCTCATTTCTTTCTCTTTTTTAAAATATATCTTTATTGATTTCAGAGAGAGGAAGGGAGAGGGAGAAACAGAAACATCAATGATGAGAGAGCCACTGATCGGCCCCACCCTGCACCCCTCCTCCTGGAGACTGAACAGGCAGCCTGGGCATGTGCCCTGACGGGGACTCCAACTGCCATCTCCTAGATCATAGGTCGATGCTCAACCGCTGAGCCATACCAGCCAGGCATCGCTCGTTTCTTTTTGTTGCTGAATAATATCCTATTGTTTGGATATACCATAGTTTGCAACTCACTTGGGTAAATACCAAGGAGTAGGATGGTTGGACCATGTGGCAAAACTATCTTTAGCTTTGTAAGGAACTGCCAACTGACTTTCATTTTGCATTCTTACCAGCAATGAATGAGAGCTCCTGTCGCTCAATATCCTCACCAGCATTTGGTATTTTCAGTGTATTGTAATACTTTTCACAACATAACTGAGGGTGGTTTTTTGGGGGTTTTTTGAGGTTTTGCCAGTCTTCTGACAAGCAGACTGGTTTTTGTGAACCTAACAAGTGGAAAAACCACCAAAGCTCACATTGACTTAACAGTCATTTCCCTGTTACTTTTCTGTCTCCGGAAACCAGCCTACTTTCCTAGCACTGGAAGTGTGTGAATGCATGTGTATATACACACGGATGCACACAGACACGCATGGACACAGTCTATAACCAGCATAGACTAGGACATGTGTAACTAAATGTTATCCATTCTCTGCTCACCTCACACCTTTGGGCCTGGTGACCTTTAATTAGTAGACTAGAGACAAAAGGGAAAAAAGACAGGCATCTGGACAATCCATATTCTTATGTTTTTGGTGAAGGAGGAATTTTAACTTCATCAATTGGCTCATATCTGCAAATTTGTAGATTGTGCCCATCTTGACTCTCTGTTCTCAGGCAAAGGGTGTTTTAAAGTTCTCTTTAAGGGGTTCTTGGCACATGAAAAAAGGAGTTAAATGCCTCAAGAATGAAACATACCTTATGCCTAGATAAGGTTGATAGGCTCAGTTTTCTAATAGTCTTTGATAGTTTGTTAAATAAATGACCTAAATAAATAAATAATCTGTTAAAACTAAGTTGTCAAATAAATAACCTACTAGGTTGGGAACAGAATTCTGAACACATACTTCACTCTCTGTAGGACCCCACCTGAAAAAGGAATCCAATACCAGGGGTCTTCCTTCATCTTGAGGTTTTCAAAATAAAAAAGGAAGCTGGGATGTGGCTTGATCAGAGACAGTATTGGGGGATAAAGTCAATTATTTAGGAGATAAAAATATTTTACCTTTTATAAAAAAAAAGTTTCACAAGCCAATACCAAGTCTCCAAGGAAAACAAAACATAAAAATTTCACACTGAAGCAGGATAGTAAGAAGCTAGGAAAATTCCTTGGCAAGCGGAATGGGGAAATTGAGACAGGTAGCCGAACAATTTACAGCCAGATGATAAATTGCAAGGTCTTATCTTCCCTGACTGAGGCCACTTAGGAACAAATGGTTTTCACATTCCAGACTGTGCTGGGGCAGGCCTGCCTCAGCCCCTCTTCAGTGACATTTTTTTTTTTTTTTAAATCCTCACCCAAGGATATGTTTATTGATTAATTTTTTCAGAGAGAGAGGAAGGGAGAGAGAGAGAGAAACATCAAAGTGAGAGAGAAACATTGATCCATTGCTTCCCATACTGGGGATCAAACCTGCAACCTAGGCATGTGCCCTGACCAGGAATCAAACCTGCAGTCTTTTTGGTGTATGGGGCGATGCTCCAACCAGCTGAGCTACCCAGCTGGGGCATTCGGTGACATTCTTTGAAAGTGAAACTAACCAGAAAATGACCCTGACCCTTCAATATGCTCATTTTGATAATTCAGCATATTGAAGGACACACCTGGAAAGCTGATGAATATTCTGTTGAGGTCCTCCCCTGAGACCTCCCCTAGAATTCCTGCCTTTAGAAAACAAATAAAAACCCCTCAAGAAGCCAGTACATGCTCTCTTTGGAGCACACCCTCGTCTTTCCTTTTCTGGGGAGTGTACTTTTGCTTTCTTTCTCTTAAGCTGTAAGGGTATCCATGAGACTTGCAACCTGGGGAGCAGCAGGCAGTGGCAGCTTGTCCCAGGCTAATGCCCTGAGCCTGTTCCAAGGCCATGTTTTCTCTGACTTTTTAGTGAACTAAAAGCAGCCTCGCCCTGGCTCTCTCCCGTTGCTTCTTCTGTCCTAAGCCCTCCCTTTGTTTCACTGTCCCCAGCTTTAATAAGGGTACTCATCACCTGGACTTGAGTTGTGAAATCTTTCCTGCTCAGTCAAGAACCCACATTCCACAGGCCAGCCCGAGGGAGACCTGCTCCAGGCCTGGTTCCTTCCTGGTGACACCTCCCAGAGATTCTGCTATAACCCACAGAAGGATGGGCCTTATCACACAAAGGAAATTTGGGGACCATATTCTATGACTTCTCACCAGCCAAGATTTTTTTCAAGCCTCACTTTTCCTGTTCTGTACCAAGAATAGGTGATATTTTATTTTCCAAATATAACATTTTATAGCACACATATATACCCTAAATGAGAATCACTGCCTTATGAAATGGCATTGCCATTAATATTTGTTGACTAAGATTAAACATCCTGTTAATTTGCCATTTCACGATCCTTGAAGAAGCAGACATTACTTAGCCTTGACCGTGAGTGTGTGTGTGTGTGTGTGTGTGTGTGTGTGTGTGTGTAGGGTTCTTCAATGACTTTTTGTACTTTGTAGGTGCTCAATAAATGTACTTTGAACTAAAGCTCTTTCCAGAGGCCTTTTCCAAATAAATTATATGCTTGAATACATACTTCATGTCCCACCAAACTAATCACATAATATCCCATAACCAGAATCTGAAATACTAAATTCACAAGAGTTTGGTTGCGGGCAGTGGTAAAGCAGAAAGTAGAAGGTCTTTTGGAAAAGATCATCCTTAGTTTAAATACGCAAGGAAAGAAAAGATGACAACAAAAACAGCACATTCAAAGCCCCATAAGCATATAAAATATAAAAATGCTTCCACACTTGTTTTTCTTTTGACCCCATACCCAAATCTGCCTACCAGAAAACTGACACCCAAAGGAAATTAGAGGAGAAGTCTTGTGGGAAGGCACACACTTAAGTGCGTAAGTGGACTAAGTGCTCCCAACCTTTCTGTGGAAGGAGCAGTAAAGCACCACCATTCAGCGTCTTTATTCCCAGGCAGACAGCCTGGCATTCCTCTTATCCCTACCCGTTTCCTTAGGAGGTCAGCTTTTCCAAAGAGGGAGTCACTTCTCAATGTGAAACATTTCCCTTCAGTTAGATTCTGGTCTAATTAGACCTATGCGAATGAGTATCAGGAAATAATGTTATACCTTTCTTCTCAGTCACATAATCAAGGAAGGGCTGAGACTCAGGCAATGCCTTCCTCGATTTCTAAACTGGGAGGTTACCCATTGCTTCCACGCCCCACTCTCCCACTGGATCCTACCTTTAATCCTACGGGTGTGCCGGGCACTGGGTTTTCCTACTACTAGTAACTCTTCTTATATTTCAATCCAGGCTGCAAATTCCACTTTCTTGCCTTTGCTTTGGAGACCTGTACCTGAGCACTGAGCCACTGGAGGGAATGGCACGTGCATTCCTCCCTATGCTAGTCGGAGTGGTGCTGGCTCGCCCCAGGTTCTTGGGGTCTCAAGGGCCTCCTTCGCCCGCCCCCTCCTTCACTTGCGTCTGAGATCTACCCTGGCTCTGTGACGTTCAACAAGGGACTGTTCAAGGGACACCACTTGCCAGATCATACAGTTAACTGCTAAGTGGGAGAGGCCCTCCCCTTCCATCCTCTTAAAAGCTGTTTCATTGGCTCACAGTTGTTCCCTCCTACCGCCTCCCCCATCCTGAAATGCCAACTGTTATAGTAACCTTTTGGGGTTGGATTAGCTCGACAAATAAACACATACTGGGCCCTGGAGGTCAAAAGTCAATAAAATGTGCCTTCAGCTAAACTTCTTCAGGGCGGTTTGCGAGCCGGATGCGATTAGTCAATGAGTCCTTTTGGTTGTTCATTCACCAAACATTTACTGAGCACCTGTGCGAGTGCCAGGCCCTCAATAATAGGAGGCCCGAGGGCCGCCCAGACTAATGAGACGGCTTCCATGGCCTGCAAGAGGAGTTCATGGTCTGGGGGGAGGAGAACTTCCCATCATAAAATTATAACATTGCACGTTAAGTGCTGGACTAGAGTGCTTCGTAGGAGTGTGGGCACAGAGGGGAGGGAGAGGGACTCAGCTGTCTCCCGGGAGCCCACGCCCCTTCCCTGTCATCTCTTTGCTTTAGGTCAGGGGTGCTGTCATCAGGATCAGGCCAGCGAGCTCCTGCCCCTGAACTGGATCACAGTCTATAAGTTCATTCAACACGCATTTATTAAATGCCTCCTGCGCTCCTTGCACAGGGAACTACAGAGGAGAAAGTGTGTAAGTGGGCAGGACAGATGGGGAAGGAGCACCAGTGAGAACTTAACCTGGAAAGAAGTGCGAGTGCATCTCGCCTCCCTCGCATATCAGGAGGAATGATGACAGGGAATGAGGGAGGCTCAGAGAGTACCTAGGAGCGTATATATTTGCCTCCTCTGTAAACTAGGAGGCAGGGCAGCCCGCTGAAAATAGCGTTAGAATTGGAGGTTCTCATATGAAAGCTCAAGAGAACAGCCAGAAACAAGGGTACTTAAGGGAGATTTCAAAATCGCAGGTATGACCGCAACTGACAACACAGCAAGCGAGCATTAGGAACGATACCCTAGGTGGCAGTGGGGCTGAAGAACTAATTGTGTGGTTTTAAATGGAAAATCCTTCGTAATAAGCTAAGTGCTAAAAATATCAATAAAAGAAATCATGTAGAATTAATATGGACTATCTACAATATTCCACACACCTAGCACTTGCTTCAACCTGCAGATTCCCTTGGCTTGAGATTTAAAAAATCAGCACTCTCAAATGTAAGTCAATTTGGATTGATTTTACATATTGGTGATATACATATATATACACACAGAGAGAATGCTATGAAAATATATGAAAGTGTGTAGATCTGTCTTACTTTCCTAGTAAGTCAGAAACATTTCTGCAGTCCTGGCTGACTTGCCCCTGGAGTCCTCTCCCACTTCTCTGCCCATCCTGCTGCATTCCCTGTGAACCTCGATTCTGGGTCCCTCCCACTTTCCACAGTTAGTGCCATAAACGACGTGCCCAGTAAGTGCTCATTTTTTCCACCTGAGCCCAAATTACTTGGTGAGGGAAAGATGAGTTGTTTCAGGGGCAATGATAAGAATCACATTCTTTGCTCAGGTCTTGTCCTGGCTATTAGAACACCACCAGGTCTCGAGTGCCAGTGGCTCCCACTGCCTCCACCAGCACACAGCCAAACTCCTCAGCCTGGTGCATATTTGCGGCCTCCCCTCTCCCAATCTCATTTCCTCCACTCTATCCATGAACCTCTCAAGCAAGGATGTGAATCATCACTGAACATGCTCGCTTAGAGGCAGCTTAGTTCTTGGGTCCACTCTTTACCCCCATGTGACTGCCACGAGTTGCCCAGTTGCTGAGATGGGCCTGTGTGGCCTTGATTTCCGGGCCTGAGCTCCAGTTTTCTGCTCCATGCCCCCCCACACACTGTACCCCATCCAACGCATGGTGGTTTTCTGATCACATATCTAGTTTATCTTTTTCCATACTATGTACACTCACCCTCGCATCCTCCTGACCCCTTGAAGATCAAAAAAGACACAGAAAGGATATGAAATGGTTGCATTCCTGCTAAGTCTCTGAAGACAAAGCTTATCTTTTCACATTTTTATAATTTTCCTTACCAAGCACAAAAAACATTGCCAGTATAAATAATAGGAAATAGATTTTCCACAAGACTAGCATTTCTTAACCCTAGTAACATCGCCTGAAGGAAGTATTAGAATTCAATTGATGAAGCTTGTGGATTTTCCTACAACATATTCCCGCTGTTATGAAGGTCAATTGGGAAAAAAAATGTGACAGGGCAAAGCCCACTCAGAGAACACAGCAAGCGACATTTGTGAAAATGGTGCTGGAAAATATCCCTCCAAAAATTCCCCATGAAAGCATGGAAAAAACTGGCAAAAGTAGCCAGAAACAATATTTTCACAACTCTGGGAATTAAACAAAGGCTTACGGCATTTGGGACAGCATTTATTTAAGAGAAACGGCTGAATCTCAGTATGAACAGTGAGCTTTGTGGTGTTTTGGTTGCCCCATTCCCATCTGCCCCCCCCCTTCTTGGTGACAGTTTCAGAAACCAACAGCCTGCAGGACAGGACTGGAGCTCCTTCAGATCTCTTCCCAGAGAACTGTTATTATTTCACTTATCTGGGGGTTCCTTACAACATACCTGCAAATATGTCTTTATTAGGCCTGATTCAAAGCTTGCCTAGTGTGCAAAGGCTTTTCCCCGGGGGGCATTTGTAGAAAATGAGTGGAGGCGATTGTTTAGCTTCCTCAGAAAGTTAACATAGAGTTTCCACATGTCTCAGCATACGTATCCCAGAGAACTGATAACATAGGATCACACGAACACTCGTACTCAAGTTTCCAGAGCAGCGTCATTTACAATATCCAGAAAGTGAAAGCTACTCGAATATCCCCAGCAGGTGAATGGCAAACAAACAGGCACATCCACACAGGGCACCATTACCCTCCTACGGAGAGTGAGGTACTTAGTCATGGGGCAACGTGGATGAAAGCTGAAAAGACTAGGCTGGTGAAACTAGACAGAAAGTGCTACATTTCGTATGACTCCATTTATATTAAATGTCCAGAATAAGAATGTACATAGAGACAGAAGGTAGATGAGTGGTCATTGGGGGCTGGAGAGAGGTAGAAGATGGGGAGCAATTGTCAATGGTACATTGGGGGGAGGGGTGATGAAAATATTCTGGAGTTTGTCACGTGGTGATGGTTGTACAGCCTCATGAATAGACTAAAACCCAATGAATTGTACATTTTAAGAGAGTGAATTTTATGTTATATTAATTATATTTCAATTTTTTAAAAAATCGTACAGCTTCTGAAAGTAGTATTAGCCATTTAAGGTTCCATTCACATTTTCTTGGGCGGCTTTGCGATATTGGAATGAGAAAGTTAATCTTGGCAATTAGATATGTGGGTGGAACACAAGTAAAAGGGCCACACCTACCTACAACCACAAAAAACCCCACCTAGGTGCTTTCAGGTGCTGTAAATATGTGGCCACAGTTATTTTCCTGGCAAACTGTTTTCCTTAACAATATCCCCAATCTGTACACCCACCTCAAAGTTGGAAACAGTATACTCTCCAGACCCAAGTCAGCAGGTGTAACCCTACCTTTATTATTGTTTTGCTGTTCCATCAATAATTTACTTATTTCCGAAAACCAGCTATCTCTGTCTTCTTTTGAAGCTGCCTGCAATTACAAATAGGAAAACACTGTGAGTGTCAGATCACCTGGAGTATGAATTGCGCAGGGCTTTACTCTCTGCGTGACCATTAAAATAATGAAATAGAAAACACTCATCAGGTCATGGGGACACCTCTGGGGAAGACACAAGCTTTACCTGCAGGATGTATTTCTCAAGTCCATTTCGGTTGGCAATTTCAAACTTTCTGTTGCTCCCCCTTTCAAGTTGGTGAATTGAAAGTGTCGTCAACTGTTGTAAAGAAAGAAGAAAAATTTTCTATACCATCGCTTTCTGATTTCAAGATTGTCACTGTCAGCTACGCTAATCCTTTCTACCCCGATGTCTCTCTTCTTCCATCTTCCTTCCAAGTGTTTTGCTGTCTTCTCTTAATGGCTCTAAGGAGCATATAATACAACCTGGTACAATGTCACCTGTCTGGTCAGTTTCAGAGGATAACAGACCATATCTTTCCATCTGTAGAGCTGTAGCCCACAACCTTTAAGCAAAGAGATCACCTCTCCTTTAACACAAGCTCTAACCATCAAGACTTTCACTCTTCTGCCTGGAAGAAAGAGGGTACTTTTTAAATTAATTTGTCCAGACAGGCCGCAGTCCCTTTTCTCTACTTAGCACAAAATCCCCTGTTCCAGCTCTGGCGCCGTCTACTAACTGATTCCAAGCCCTGCCTCTGGAGTCAGACGTGGGTGTAGGTTCCAGTTCTGCTTCGTGGCATTTGCTAAGTTAACCTCACCTCTCTGCGCTACAGTCTCCCGTCTGTAAAATAAGGGTGATTATATTCCTCCCCATAGGGTGTGCTGACTGCCAGGTGCAGGGGGACTCGTTTACCTTCATGGACTTCTTAAAGCTGTAATGAGGAGACAGGCCCTGGTCGCTGGGCTCCATTCGTATCTTACAGAACACGATTCCCTTTTCAAACAGGTAGATTTGCCGCTGGCTGGGCTTGAATCGCATGAAATCCTTCACCTTGTGCCGCTCCCTGCGCACCGTCCAGACGCTGAAGAGGCCCCGCAGCAGCAGCCGGCCCAGCGCGCCCATGTCTTCCTTTCGGAACCACAGACACACAAAACGAAGCTGCTGAGCTACTCGACAGGCCAAGAGCTCTCAGGGTCTGTTTCCAAATGACAAATCATGCTTCTTCGAAGTTCACAATCTTAGAAGTGCCGCTCGGGCTAATCTGTCACTAAACCAAAACTGTGTAAGCTTCACTGAGCATGACGCCGCCACTCAGTTACATCAGGAAATAGCGCAGCAGCGAACGGCAATAAACGACAGCGGGTTGGCAAGACTGGAATTAAGGTAGTGGGACTCGAATATTTTTGCCTTGCAGCTAATTTTAGCGAGCAGAATTCCATTTCTTCTCCTTTGTTTCTGATACATGGCACTACTTAAAAAGGGCAAGAAATTAACATTTGAATTATGCTCGAGAGAGACCTTTTTTCTTTTTTTTTTAAATCCTCACCCGAAGGTATTTTTTTCCATTGATTTTTTTTAAAGAGAGTGGGAGAAAGGGAGGCAGGAGAGAGAGACAAAAACATCAGTGTGAGAGAGACACATGGATTGGTTGCCTCCTGCACGCATGTGCCCCTCGGGGGCCAAGGATCGAATCAGGAGAGACAGAATTTTTGCTGCATCGTCGATCTCTGACAATCCATGTGCTCCACCTGTGTCCTGATAGCTGCTTCATGTCTACAAGAACCTGGGATCGTGAGATTTGTTCTGAAAGGAGAAAGCCTAATAGGACCTAATCTTCATGACACAGTAATGGAAACAGTAATTACTTCAACCCTACGTGGTTCAGAGTGAGTGAACCGTGAAAAGATCATCTCAAGTGACAAATTTTTTAAAAAGACTCTTTGGCTCTAGGGCACACACTAGGTGCCTCTCTCTCCACCAGCAAGCCCACCTTCCCCCCTGAAAGTTCAAATGAGGTGTCCCTGCCTCCTGAGTTCTCTCTAAAGGGTAGTGGAGTGACATGAGCTAGGAATGTGGTATTTTTCAAAACTTACATCACTTAAAGCAGAACATCCAGAATTTATTACCTTGAATCAAACACCGAAAGGAAAAATTATTTGAACAGGACCAGGACAGCAATTTCCCTGAGCTACATGTAGCTGAGATAAATCCCTACAATTTCTGATTGTTAGTACTATAAATATGTATATTATGTACAACTCGTTAGGCATTTTTGCAATTTATTGCTTATACTGAACAAACTGTGAATATTTTCTTTTTAAAAAATTGTCTGTACTTCTGAAATTCTAAAATAAAAATTCACAAGCAATAAACTCGAGTAATTTCTATAGGGCCTGTGGCGTATTCCCTGTGCTAATTTTTTCTTTTTGCTTTGTAAAATTTGCATGTGTGAACTCCTCATGGAGGAATAAAGAGCCCAGCTATAAGGCCCTCTTTCCTAAAAGCTCTAGACTGCACAGGCTCCCAGACAGATGGCTGGATGGGTCCATGAGGACCCTCGAGAAGTTTCTCCATGAGGATCCTTGAGAAGTTTCTCACTATACCCACATCCTTCAAGGAGCCATGCAAATGTAACCACACCAGCCCTCTGCGACTTTCTCCTTTAAACCCATTCAATCTGCATGACATAAACATAAATACTATGGGAAATATGTTTTAGTCAAGGCAACTGGCCACAGTAAATGCTTAATATTGGCCACATGAACAACCATAATCAATAGTTTTTATTGTCAAATGTATTTATACTCCACCTCATTTCAAAAATTTGATACATTTTATAAAATATATACATTGTGCGCAGACAGAAAATAACTGAGGAAATTAAGGTAAAGAAAAAAAAGATGAAAAGTTGTATTTAAGACCCATGCAACAAAGCCTTGTACACTTGCTGCAGACCCGGCTCTGACCTTCCAGCAGCAGCGCAGAGGGAAGCCCAGTGAGTTTATGCAAATCATGTTCAGGAGACGCCTGGGCTCCTGTTAATCCTGCTAATGAGGCGAGAGAGAAATCTCTCCCATGGGTCCTCACAAAGAGTCACTGAGTCAAATACCGAGCACACCCTCAAACACACCCCAGGCTAGATAGATGAATGGAGTTTAGGTAAAGCTGTTTCTAAGGACACATTTGGCGAAGGCGGAGCATCTCTTCCTAGGCACTGTGGTAAAAGCAATTATAAAGAGGCCAGAGCAACGGGGGTGTGGACAGCAAGTCCAGGTGTACACTCTCTAGTGACCTGTAGAGGGCTGCGCCATGCTAGCGAGATGTCTGCCAAGGCCTCGGCCGCAGAGGAAACAGCCCTGCTCAAGAGGCAACAGGGAACAGCGACAGTTTTTGTCCTAATTCGCCTCTGCACTGGCCTCCTTAACCCCACCTGCACCCGTAGCTGTTTGCATCTTGGGAGGCAACTGACCAAAGGGTGTGGTGCCAGTGAGGTGCCAGCCCCTGACCACAGAGGCCTGGTGTCAAAAGGATGCCAGAAGGCCAATCTGATCCTTGTCTCAACTGAGGAGCACTGAGGAGGAGGCAGTGAGCAGCAGGGTTGCAGCTGTGAGATGCTCTATCAGAGGGCAGGTGGTGCAATGAACAGCAAGGAAGCAGAGCGTGAGGATGAGTCACCGGAAACTATGAGGAAGAGGAAAAGACATGGACAGAGTCAGTCTGGGGGTGGTGAGAGGCGAGGCAGAGCAGCTCCCTCCCCGGCCAAGGCCCCAGAGCCAATGGGGGTCCTGGGATTGTCCAGTTCCCACCTCTGTGAGCTCAGCTCTGCCATTGACCTGATTCTTCCCAAGGTCACTGGAGGCAGTCACTGGGTTTGAGTCCAGCTGAGACAGATGAGCTGCATATCCTCCAGGTGGCCTTGCATGAATTTCCTCAGAACCATGCTCCTATAGGATTAAACAGCCAGGATGCATGCCTGTGTGCAGGTCACCCACTGCCAAGGGGAAGCAGGACCAAGGGGAGTCCTCAGAGCAGGACCAAGGATCAACCACGTACATCCTTTCTTTCCAGTCAGACTGTAGCTTATTCGAAAGCCAGAGGCCACGTGCACAACCTCTTGCAGATATTTGTCCCTTAGAAAGTATTTATTCATTTACTGGCATTTAGTGTGTGCCTGGGAGGGGCGGGGCATGAAGCTGAGTGCTCAGCACTATGAGGGAGTTAATGAAGTGATGCCCTTTTACTGGGTTGAATAGCAGCTCCCCCAAACTCATGTCCACATGGGACCTCAGAATTTGACCTTATTGGAAATGGGGTCTCAGATGTAAGTAGTTAAAATGAGGTCATGCTGGATTAGGGTGGGGCCTAACCTAACAGCTTCTGTTCTTTTGAGAAGAAGAAACAGACACAGAGACACACACATATAGAAGACAGTCCTGGGAGGACAGGGACAGGAATTGGAGTGATGCAGCTGTACGCTAAGGAATGCCAAGCATTGCCAGAAACTATGAGCAGCCAGGAGAGGAGCAAGGAGGGAGGGCCTTTAGAGGAAGCATGGCTGTGCAACACCTTGATTCTGGACTTCTAGCTTCCAGCACTGTGAGGAAATATGTGTCTGGTTTTGAGCCACCCAATTTGTGGTGTGCTGTTATGGCAGCACCAGGAAATTTGTACACCCCCAACCGGTTTTTCCACCAGTGACACACTGCTGTGGCCCTCACTTTGGGTGTTGAAGAATCTAATGGATGTGAACTCAGAGATAGACTAGGGGTTACCCCCCAACAAATGAGCAAGTGAAAAGTCCTCCTGCATATGAGAAAGGATGGCAAAAATAAACTAGAAAATGCTACCATTTTCATGTGTGGATATTTTGTAGGTAAGAGCTCTGATATAAGAATTTTAAATGTGACCACATGGGCCAAAGAAAGAACTTGGAGGAGAGAGAGAATCCAGGGGAGCCAGCCTCCAGAAAGAGACCTCTTTGGGGTGCTCAGGTTCTCATCCCTGGCTGTGACAGCTGCTGTAACAGACCTATATACTTTTTGCACAAAGCAGCAGGAAACATCTGGATAAATAAATCAGTACAAAGCCTGGTCCAGAAACGAAAAACAGAAGCTGTAAGACAGAGGAGCCGAGATCACAATCACCAGAAGCAAAGGGGCTCCTTCCTTCCCAGTCTGATCAAGTACCCAGATAAGTCAGCCCTGGGGCCCTGTACTCAGCACCTACCAGGTACCAGGCCAGGTGCTAGGTGCCTTAAATATGATTTAATCTTCAAGTACTGCACTTAGGCGGAGGTGTCTCAGGGTGGGAAGGTGGGCAAGTCAATTCCACTGAGTCATTAAGATTGTTTACTCAGCCTTATCTTTGTAGCCAACACTATGGTAAGGAAAGCGGAAAGTAAAATAGAAACAAAATACCTGGTCCTAACCCACAATAAACTTGCAATAAAAAAACTTCCTTTAATAAATTATATAAATTTTTTCCAGAAAATTAAAATGTTTCATTCAACCTTTATTATTCAATTTTGGAACTTGTTCCTGGCAAGTCAGGATTTAAAAGGACTTTAAATGTATCTCTATTTTATACATCGGATTGAACACAGGGGAAACTTTTTATTTTATTTTATTTTATTTTATTTTATTTTATTTTATTTTATTTTATTATTGTATTGTATTGTATTTTTTGGCAAATTGAGGGAAGTAAATTAAATGTGTCTCACAAAACAAACTTTCTTTTAAGAATAATTTTTTAAAAAGTTTTTGTGATTAAATTAAACCAAGAACTGAGTATACGCAAAGAGAAAATATAAATATCAGATGGGATTTTTTTCTAGTTGTTTTAATTATGAATTCATTCACTCAAGTTCAATTTCTTTCTTTTACAAAATCAGGTTAATATTGGACGTCAAGTAGAGAAACTAAGGTTAAGCTGGGTTATCCAACATACGGCATATGATTGTAAACACCTTGTGATAAAGTTCTACAAAGCTGAGGCAAAGACTCGCAGGATCATTAGATCTGAATTAGTAGTAGGTGAGTTGTTAGTAAACTCTAAACAGAATCAGATGAAGAATGTGTCTCGAGGATGGCAGCCTGGCTAAGGAGTGAAGAGATCCAAGATTCTGCCCAGAGAAATACCAGGAGGGAAATAAAAAGATCACAATTTTTGCCCCTAGTTAATTTGCATGGTTTGATTTATGACAAGGAAAGATAAGAAAGGTCAGTTCAATCTGCCCAGACCTCAATAAACAGTATGTTAAAACCAGGTGAAAATGAAAAGGAAAGAGAGAGAGAGAGAAGGAAAGTGTCTGAACTGTCATTTTCAGATTGCTCGATCCCCGTGTGGTAAGCAGAATGGTAACGTCCCACGGAGGCCGAGGGCCTAATTCCTGGAATCTGAGAGATCAGGTTACATGCGGAATGGGTTCAGATGGAATCAAAGTTCTTTATCGGCTCCCTTTGAGATGGGGAGATTATCATGGACTATCTGGGTGGGTCCAATGTAACCACAAGACTCCTTAAAAAGTGGGGGAGAAGCAGAAGGAAGGGTAGGAGTGATGCCATCAGTGCAAGAACTCAGTGCACTATTGCTGGCTGTGAGGGGAGGCAGTGGCCACGAGCCAAGAAATTGAGTGTTTTTGTTGTTGTTTTTTAAAATGGAGAAGACAAGGGATGCATTCTCTCCTAGAGCCTCCAAAAAGGAAGGCAGATAGCTACTTTGATTTTAGCCCCTGGTGAGACTGTGTTGTACTTCCTTCAGCCCCATGGAACTGTAAGATAATAAATTGGTGCTGTTCTAAGCCACCAAGCTCAGGGTGATTTGTCATGACAATGACAGAAAACTAATATTCCTGAGTTGAAGTCTAGAGTACTTCACAGTGAAAACTTCCAGCTGAGTATTACTTATGTTCCAGTCCTCAGGCGGACACACAGCCACAGAGGGCAGTTTGCCCGGAATGCCCAGGACTGGCCTGCCCCGGACTGACGCGAATGCTGGAGCCGAGATGGCTCGGCGTCCCAGCATCGCCTCTCCTGCTTTTTCCTTCAACCATCTGGGTTAAGGGATGTACAACACATGCTTATTGGGCCTCTTCTGGGGTCTGAAATGCAAAGTGGAGTGAGACTTTAACTTAGGACCCATTTTCAAAGAAATTTTCATGGAGAAAATCTGAGTCAAGAAGGGAAACCTTTTAATATTTTAATAGTGCCATGAGTCAAAATAAATTACTCTTTTAGCAATTTCCCCTGCCCATATATATATTGGCCCCTGAGTTCCTGGTTTTGCCAGAGCACAGGTCGGTCTCAACATTCTGGACCACAAGCAATGCAACCCAAGGTCCCGGAAAACACTGGGGCTGCTGGGAACCTCAGAGCACAGGTTCGTTGACTGACGTAGGCCACTTTCCCAGAGTCAGATTCCTTTACCATAAACCATTTCTCCAGCTTTGTTACACCGTGCCTGCCTCTCGAGCGAACCCTCCCAACGGTTGTTATGCAACATAACATACCGGACATCCAGTGACTGCTGCCAGGTCCACGGCCAATTCACAGGACTTGATCAGCTCCTCCATCATGGCCACAGCCTGTCGCAGTTCAGCCAGGAACGCGGGGTCCTTGGTCCTCGTTGGCTCGTTCTGTGGAGACCAAATGCCCTGTAGGAAATCAAAAGGTAAACCATCTACCAGGCGAAGAAGGAAAACAGGACAGAGAGAAGGAGCCACGGATCCAGCCAGGATGAAGTTTCTGAGAAGGTGGGCACACTGGCCTGTTTCCCTGCTCCCAAAGGATGGTGGCTAAAGCTACCTGCTGCTGGCTATCACCAACCACGCTTCTGCGGAGTGTGCTGATGAAGAACGAAGTTGGCAAAATCATGGGCATTTGACTCCTGCTCGATAAGACACATACTGAACTCTTTTGAAGAATGGAAAAGCCCAGCCCCTTTCAATGGACTGCCCTCTGCGTTATACCCCTACCCCTGGGGTCTGTGAAAAGCACAATCTGAGCCCGGCCGGGCATGGCTCAGAGGTTCAGCGTCGACCTAGGATCCGGGCGATCAGGGTTTGATTCCCAGTCGGGGCACATGCCCGGGTTGCCGGCTCGATCCCCAGTCGGGGGCGTGCAGGAGGCAGCCGATCAGTGACTCTCTCATCACTGATGTTTCTATCTCTCTCTCTCCCTCTCCTTTCCTCTCTCTGAAGTCAATAAAGATATATTTTAAAAAAAAGAAAAGTACATTCTGAGTATCAAATTCCTGTATTTAATGTGAAAGTCGTATTCTTACGGGTGAAATTATACTTCAAACCAGCCCAAGGGAGAACACTTTTAAACTCCCATAGAGACAACGAATGGGCTGCCGTGTGGAGGTTGACTAACGACTGACAGGTGAATGCTGTAAGGTTGTATTTGCCACAGTGAATCTCCCCCAGCTCTGCCCTCCCTACTCCTCTCCCCCCGAGCCCTCCCCACATGCAACTACCTTTAAAGATGCCAAGGAAGTCTGCAGCTCCCAAACGGGAAGACTCAGCATTAAATGGAAAAGCCCAAACTGCTAATTCCAGAAACCAGTGTTTCCACTGTTACCACTGTGACACTTAGGACGTAATAGGGATGATTGTTTCAGCTTGAAAGGCTTTTGTTTAGGTTTTCAGTGTTTCATTCCCTTGCTACCTACATAGCATATTTATGCTATCCAGTAAATGCAAACAAAATGATTTTAGTTTCTTCCATTTTTTAAGTACATCAATTTCTACAACAAAGAACAGATAGCTTTTTGCTGCCCCGTGTAGCCCCCCTTCCTGCCCTGTACCGCACGATGCCAGCGAAGGCTGTGCATTTCCTTACTCTCGGCAGGAGCACTGGGGATTAGCCTTTCTGGACCAGGGGTATGAGTGACAGGGCTGGTGAATGGAGCAGAGCATGCTGCCTGCCCTGAGCATGTGCCATGGATTCTTACCTTCTCCCTTGTAATAAATATGCTCTAGTCCTGGTGAAAGACAGCAGACTCTTACCTGGCTTTGTAGTAACATCAGTAAAGGGTTAAAAATTCTTACACTAGGCATCTTCCTCTTTACCCAACGCTTAAAACTCAACTTCTTTTTAGAGACTAAACTTCTCCTATTCTGTCTCTTTCCTGGTTTTACACTGGCAATGCAGGACTCAGAAAAAGCCTTATGAAGAACATTACTAGGCCTCTCTAACTCAGGCTAGCTCCCCTTGCTCCAGATTATAAACTTACTACCTGTGTCTTGAGCTTCTAGCTTCAAGGGGTCCCCATCACACATTCGGAGCAGAGAAGGCATGCAAATGACTGCTAATCTTGAGACACGCACCTCAGGTTTCTCTTGTTAAAACGGGAATATTTAATAGGAGATTTAAAAGAAACCCCACTGCTAAACCACAAATTTCTTCCTAAGCTGGTTGGCCACCATTTCCTCCAAGGGAACCTCAGTGGTCTCTCTTAGAATTCACACACATGCACACACACATGCACACACACACACTCACACACACTTTTGGAGGGGTACAGGACATAATGTATACAAATTAGATAAACAAAGAAATAAACACAAATGATTCATAGTCTTACCTTGCAGGAAAACCACAGTAGAGATTTTAACATACTTACTTTCAGTATTTTATGTATGCATATTACACATGCCTGTTTGTATTTCTGTAAAACATTTTACTGTGAAAGGAAGAAAGTACACTTATCCTGCCACAAATCCCCACTTTGAAACTGGCTTTCATTTTTCTGCTTTTTCCTATGGACTACGAAATATATACAATTTTTACAAAACTTAGACAATAGAGATCTTAAGCAAGGAAAACAAAATCTTCATAAATCCTCCCACCCATGGACAAATACCATGAACAGTTATATAAAACAGTATTTAGCATCCAGTACCTTAGCCGAACATCCTTCTAGGTCACCTGGGTCTATCTTCAGATCCTCAGGAGACTCAAAATCCAGCAGATCCTGCATTAACCCAAAAAGCTCATTGAAAAATCAAAAAGTAGAAGGCCAACTAAATGTACTGTGCAAACGATCTCCAAACAAATGCTAAACTGACTGAGAATGTATGCAAATTTGTCTGTCACAAGTAAGAGGCAAAGAATGAATGATACAGTCAGCACAGTGTTCTTTCCACACAAAAATCATATTGGACACATTATTTTGTAGCCTGCTCTTTCTTAATCAACAACATCTCGTGAATGTTTATTTTCTCATGACATTATATATTTAAATTTTTAAAAATTTTTTTAATTGATTTTTTTTTTTTTTTTGGAGAGGGAGAGGGAGAGTGATAGAAACATCAATGAGAGAGAAACATCATCGATCAGCTGCCTCCTGCACACCCACATCCGGAGATTGAGCCCACAACCCGGGCATGTGCCCTGACCGGGAAGCGAACCAGTGACCTCTTGTTGCATGGGGTGACGCTCAACCACTGAGCCACACAGGCCAGGCGACATTATATATTTTTAAAAACATGGTTTGGATTGTGGCAGTGTTGTATCCTATACATAAACCATAATTGATTAATCTCCTCTGTTTTTAAATACTTAGGTTCCACAATTTTTCCTCAAGATAAATTCCTAGAAGTACAACTGTCAATGTTAAGAGTTTTGATGCAGATGTTTAAAGTGTACATCATGATGATTTGATACATGTATGCATTGTGAAAGGATCCCCCATCTAGTTAATTAACACATTCATCATCTCACATATTTATCTTTTTTGTGTGTGTGAGAGAACATTTAAGTCTACTCTTAGCAAGGTGCATTATACGATACAGTGTTATCAAACTTCAATATTACGATACAGCCACCATGAGTTACATCAGACCCTCAAACCGTATTCATTTATAGCTGTAACATTTAACAACCTCTCCCCATTAATTATTTCTTTACATAGTAGCCTATTTAATTTTTTAAAACAAGAAAAATGAATGCTGCTTTTATGGTATGTGTTAGTTTATACAGGAAATCAGCATGACCATCTATTCTAGAATAGCCTTGTAATAAGCAAAACTTACAGTAAACAAATATTACACCATTTTGCAAACCATATCTTAATTAAACAAAATCCAGGCAAGAAAAAATTTTCTACATTAAATTTGATAGTTTCCAGCCCTGACAGGTGTTGCTCATTGGTTAGAGCATCTTCCCCTGCACTGAAGGGTTGTGGGTTCAATACCCGGTCAGGGGGTGTGTATGAGGCAACTCATCAACGTTTCTCTCACATTGATGTTTCTTTCTCTCTCCCCCCTCCCTCCCTGCCTTCCACGCTCTAAAAATCAATGGAAAAAATATCCTCAGGCGAGGATTAACAACAACAAAAAATAATAATGTTATTCTTTAATATAAAACGAAGAAACCTGTCACAAATGAACGGTTTCCATGTTTAAGTGTCAACGAGCACAAAATTACTGCGAATGAGAGAGGAAAGAGCTGCTGAATCAGAAACCAGAGAGAGAAAGTGGGCTGTGAAGGTGCGGGGAGGGGAACACAAAACCTGCAGGGGAGAGAC